TTTTCATGTAAATTAGTAAAACTCGTAATTTATACTCCGTATGTGAAGTTTCTAATGGTCCGATACGGTACGGTTCTAAGTATGAAACATTCGGTATCATGTCGTTTCGGAACGGTACAACGGTACAATGCCAAACGCATGCTAAAAAATTTGACAAATCTTGCAATTAGTAAATAACACCACACCAACCAACTCACATAAGTGTTGATATAAATACAAGAAATTGCATACGTAGTACTAAAATTCACAAATACACAAATAGTGCAACACAACTAAAAAAAGTATAGCAAAATAATGATACACCAGATAAATATGATCTTTCATTTACTAAGTTCATGTGAAAATATAAAAAGAATATCATCAAATTGTTCAGTATAATAGAAAATTTCAACGTTCTTCTTCTTTGTTCTAGACTTCTAGGTTAAATATTAGTTCTAATTAATTTATAGTTAAACCGTGAGAACTGAGATTTAAACCATGTTAATTAAGTTGTACAATTGCACAAACATGATATGGAGTACAGCAAAAAGTCACATACACTAAATTAGTAGGAATGAATAGTTATTAATGATTTTTAAAACTTTAACATTCTTTCAATACATACCAAAATATAACACAAAATTATCTAAAAAGAAAAAATAGCAATATACATATAAACACACACATTTAGCTATTTTAGGGACACGTGAATACATATTTGGGTATAAATTTGTTGGTCTATAAAATATATGATGGTCCCGGATAGGTAAAAGTCTAGAGGGGGGTGAATACACTTTTAAATCTTTTTTGACTTTTAAAAGTTTTCCCTCTAAAAGAGTTCATCTATAAACTTTTGAGAGATTTATAGATGCACAGCGAAAATCTTTACCCTTTATGTAATGAGTGTTTAGCCACTTTCTAACTTGGAGAGTATTTGGCTTAGAATGCTAGCAGTTGGCTTAGCAGGTGGCTAAGAGCAAGGAACTGCTGAGGCAACTGCTCAGGAAATGTAGAGTATATGATGAAGGTAAGGATAGTTGATTGATGAGTATGATAAGGCCTTTTAGTGAGTATGCTTAACTGAAAAGAAACTATAGCTTTTTACTGAAGCAGTGGACTCGACAGTTAGGTGAATGTGAGGGAACTGCTGAGGCACCTGCTTGGGTCAAAAGCTTATTGGGTTAAGCAAACTTCTTGGTGATGTAGTGACAATCTGGTGATGTTTGAGATGTTTGACAAGAAGTAAGTATATATGAGCAGAGGGCTCAGCAGTTGGGTGGATTCCAGGGAGCTGCTGAGGCACCTGCTGTACTTAGAAAGTGAATTTCAGAAAACTGATAGAGTGATCCTTTCAATTGATGTTGGTGCACGTTAAAGGTGTGAATTTGGTCTCAAAGAGAGTGAGTAATTAAGCAGTAGGATAAGCAGTTGGGTCAATTAAGACAACTGCTTAGGATGCTGCCGGCAAACTACAATCTTTATGTGAGAAGTGTTGGGTGTGTGCTTTGTTGACTGAAATGAAATCAACACACGATATATCCTGGTTCAGAGGTGGTGTAATCCTCCTACGTCCAGTCCCACCCTCTTTCAGATGGATTTCACTAAAGTATTAAGCCCAATACACTTAGTGCCAATCTAGCCTTTACAACACTTAGGCCTAGATTGAAGGTTTTTCACGATGAGTATAGCACCACTCAAAGTTACTCAGTCCTTAGACTTTTCTCTAATGAACCAGTGGGGATCAAAAGGTACTTTATCTATCTACTTACACCGTAGGATCCGAACAACTGTTCTCCTGAGTGTTTACAACAATATGTGATTTGTTACAAGAAAGTTCTAACCTCCAACTAGGAACTAAACTTCTATGATTTAGCAATGAAGAGCTTGTAAACTGGAAGTATAGTGAAGCATGAGTCCATGCAGAGAGTAAAGTTTAGAATAACACTTTCTCTTTTGCTAGATATCTCGTGAATGCTCGAAGGATATTTTTCTCTACTTTGGATGCTCAAAAGCTTGGTTAGAAACTTTCGTTTCAGACTCTATTTATAGGCTTTTTGGCTGATCAATCTTATCTGTTGGTTAGGATAGATTGATCTTGGACGTTGAAGTTCTGATGAGTATGAGTAGTACTTTTGTCCTTTTGTGCTGGAGTTTTTAATGCAGCGGTTCTCTTGTCTTCAATAATCTTGGGGTGGTTTTCAAATACCACATGGATTGATTCTTCTACCACCAGAGTTCTTTTCTTGCGACGCGACCATACTCGCTTGTGTCTCCCTCATAATTCGGTCAATATTATCAAAACTCTTTTCCATTTTCGGTGTCAGGTAGAAATCCTCATCCATGATTCAGATTCTTTGTCTCCAGGATGTAACAGCTCTGATACCAATGTTAGGAACCCTAGCAATTACAGAAGTTCACTAACAAACAGAAGAATGGTAACTAAGAAAACTGAAAGCTTCATTAATGGAAAATCCGAGTACACAGTCCCAAAGAAGGAGATAAACTCCAACTTCCCAGTCCCAGACCAAATGAGTCTAAACAACCTTCCCGCTAACTCCCCCTTACATGTCTATTTATACCAGAATACTACATAAGCCCTTATTACTATTATTATTGTTATTATTATTATTATTATTATTATTATTCTTTCTATTATTAAACTAATACGTAGGTCCCTATCAATACTCCCTCCCTAAACATCCACCTTGCCCTCAAGGTGGACGGTAGGAGACAGCCAAGATCTTCTGCTTCTTTTTCTTCCTTGCTCCTCTTCCTTCCCAGTACATAACTGTTTGCTGGACCAGAAGCTTTGGTATTTGTTCCTTCAAAATCACTGCAATTTCATTTGTTGCCGGAGCTTCCAAGCATTCACTAGCTGCAATTGTTTCCTTGTTTTCTTCTTCAAGGATTCTCACTTCTGAAGCTATCAATGTGCTGGATGCAACAAGCCCTATGCAATTTTTTCCATTTACAATGCACTCTGTCAGGCAGTTAGTATCAATGATAGAATCATTTGTAGTAGCAGGATTTGTCTCATACAACTTCAACAACCAACATAAGTTGTGCACTACAATGCTACCATGCGATGTCAGATTCTCTAACTGCCAAGGACCCCAGTCTGGCCAGTTTTCTTCTTTCCACTCACTTATAAGAGAGCCAAAAACTCTTGCAGCCATAGAACGAACTTCAGGGACCACAACAAACTCCTTTATGTTATAAACATGTCCCTTTATTATCATCCCAGGATTGACCTCTGAATGAGTGAAAATTGATCCTTCAATTGCACTAGTTTGTGGCTCATTATTCATCAATCGCATTGCTAAGGCATCCCAGAATAATTCAAAGCCTTCACCCACCAGATTTTGGTCTTGACTTTGAGTATAAGCAGCACACTTCTCCCTCCATGGAATTGATAAGTATTCTGTTTCAGCACGAACAAACACTCCTGTCCTTTTTGACTTATCTGCGTTAGTGACTTCCTCCTCCAGCTCTTTCAATTCTGACAACTTCAACTCAGTGTTTCTTGCCAATGATGAAGAGCCTGCTTCAGTTCCTCCTGTTACAGAATATTGCTCATTCTTTTCCTCTTCCGGTAATTCCTTGATTATTAATTCCGAGGACTTCAATTGGGTTTTCTTTGTCGACCGGTGATAATCTAGCTCAGGTTGAGAAACGTTCAACAAAAGCACTGGCGAACATGAATATTCCTCTCTTGATCTCGTTGCCCTGTTATGTGAATTCATCGCGATTGGGGATGCCTGCGGATTGAAATCTGTTCTCGTTGTTCGCCGCTTGCTAGGCGATGATTCCTGCGAACTGAATGAAGAAGTTCGTGATTGCAAACTAAGAAAAACCTTGCGCGACTCTGTTTGCGATCTTGGGAGCGGTGGTGACGAGCTTACTTCGTCATTTATCGGAGAGCGACGATAAGAGTGATGCGACGAACCTTGTTTGTCAGGTAGCGGAAAAGACCTAGTTTTCCTCGATCCTTCTCCAGGTCCTCTGCGATGGGAAGGATACGAAGGTCGCGATTCAGTCTGCGAACTTCCGCGCTCCCTTTTTTCTGAGATATTCCCCATTTTTTCGCGTGAAGCCTTTTGTGAGTGTGAAATAGAAGAAACAGTTCGCGACTCCTTATGCGAACCAGAAGAAACACTTCGTGATTCCCTCTGCAAACTGGTGAGCGACGAACTCTGTTTGTCAGATTTCCGATGATGCCCGGTGTTCTTCGATCGGTGCAAGCGCTGATTTATACGTTCAAAGTCACGTAACATTTCTTCCAACCTAGCGTTTGTCTCCTTCATAATTTCTTTCATCCTAGCGTTACTCTCCTTCATCTGTTGGTTCGTCTCCTTCATCTGTTGATTCAGATTGTCAAATCTTTCTTCCATTTGCGGTGTCATATAAAATTCCTCCATCTTTCCGATGATTCAGATTCTTTGTCTCCAGGATGTAACAGCTCTGATACCAATGTTAGAGACCTCACCAGTACAGAACAATTACAGTAGATTAACAAGAAAATCAAACTAAATTCTTATTTGATGAAGAAGATCGGTTACAGAGAGAAACAGAAACAAAGGCCGAAGCCTCCCAAAAGAGAAGAGAATAACTCTCTAATCTTTCCCAGTCCCAGTCCAAAAGTCCAAAAAACCTCCTTACTACCTTCCCTCTACATCTATTTATACTATAATACTGCCTAAGCCCTTATTACAACTATTATTATGATTCTTTCTATTATTAATCTAATAGGTAGGTCCCTATCATATTCATAATTGTTGATTGATCTAAACTGATTACTTATTATTAAATTTCATAAAATAAGGATAATATAGTACAGAATTAAAATGTTAAATGTCTCTCATTCCCTTCCATCTACTATACCCAAATGAGGTGATATTAAAATCATCCCCCACCCAAATGAGGTAATGTTAAAATCATCCCGCTCCCCCTTCTTCTTCATTACATGGAAGGACAATGCATTACTGTGACAAGAACTAAATACTCACATTCGCAATACTCCTGTTAGAAAGGGGAACCAAATCTCCAGCTGCTCTAGATGGGTAAGACCTTGTACTATGAGAACAGGTATAAGGAACAGAACTGTAAGTACAACACATGCAGTATAAACAGCAACATTGCAAATCCATCTTTTGAAAAATGAAGCTGAAAAGAAGGGCCAATATACATCCTCTGGATCAGGAGATGGCTCAGTAACCCATTCAGTGGGATTGCTGCTTTGTCTGATGTTTAAAGCTACTGCTGCCCCAAATCGTGTTTTGAAGGATACAAAAGCCGCTTGCACCTCCTAATATTAGAATGTTTAGCCCATGACTGAGAAAGTGAAAAGTACTACATCTGTGCATTCTGGTACAACATTTACATTTTATTAAGGTAAAAGTATCTTCAAATCATCCACCTTGTATTTTTGAACCTATTTGTTTGTTAAACTAAATTTAGCACACTTTACATGTTTGGAACTTTTTTGGTAAAATTGCTTTAAATTCAATGAAAATTAGCTTCTTTTGTTGAAATAGAACTTTTTATTGGGGTCAAACATGCAAGTATTTTGGAACAAACAGGATTCTCTTTTTAGGATGGAGGTAGTATATGGCACTCCCTCCACTCCTTAATATAGTACTCGTATAAAACATTTGTGATAGAATCACACAAAGCAACAAGAGTATCAAATTACTCAAAAGTGTACCCTACTACCAATATTATCATCATTATTTCTTCCTGTAAGGGAAAACAGTGAGCAAAGTATTAAATGCTTCATTGGAATGCGGAAGAATTCTTTTACTGAATGTCAACAGTCAAGACTATAAGGTTAGTAAACGAATTATGTGACTAAAACTACCTTTGAAGATCGTTCCACTCTAACTTTGTATTCTATATCTTCTAGCTTCATTTCATAGTGGCCCAAAAGGTCAACTCTAGGCCCAAAGATCCCCATGAAGCCAGCACGGCCAAATCTTTCTTGACTATGGTCTAATGTTTTCAACCGAGCTAGTTTCCTGTACAACTTATCAGCTTCATCCTGGAATTCAAATTGCTTAGATATTAGATGTGTTGAAACATACACAGGAACAGTTTAACGACCACACCAGAAGCTTATAATTGCTTTTAATCCACAATGACAAAGCAAATAATGAAGGATCCGCTCCGCATGATGTAGATCAGAGGGCCGGTCATGTACATTTACGTAATAGAAAAAGGGAAAACATTATAAGAATAGATAAAAGTGGAAACATGACTTCTGCTGAAAAAGGTTAATTCATATGTGAAGTTAAATCTTACAATGAGGCCTTTGAGTTTGCTTGTCCGCCGGACAACAGAGTGTGAGAGATAAGTAGCAGGATGGTACTCCATAAAAAAGCTCTCAACAACTTCAGTGTAGCTCTTCCCTGGGGATGGTGGAATACTTCGAACTAAAACAGTGAACTCGTGTGGCTTGGGCTTTGAAGAATTAAAAAAGGCAAGCCTTTTAGATGCAATATGGTCATACTCCTGCAAATCATAAATTGTTTCATCAACAAGATGACTTTCATAGGCACACAACACATAATTGCAACAGGGACTCATTGGTAATGGTTGTTTGGCTGAATGACTGAATTTACTGATTTTTTTATAAATGAAAAGCTTTGATTATGGATGCCAATGGAGCCCAAGTAAAGATTGTGAAATACTTACAGCATAGAGAAGATAGCAAACATACGTCGTGAATACGTACACTGCTGAGAAGTGAATCCATAACCTTAGAAAGACCAGAAGAGACAACATTTAGCTTCCAACTCAATTAATACTAACTATTCCTTCCATCCTTTTTATTCTCCCCTTTGGGCTTAAGCACAATTTTTAGGAAAGTGGAATCTGTATGGTTGAAATTTGTTTAGAGGAGATACATAACATCAGCCACCAAAATCTTTCTTTAGAATAAAAAAAGAAATAATTTAGGGATGAATAAAAATGAATTAATGAAGATAAAAAGGGAAGGAGAGAGTGAATTCATTTACTCCATAAGTGATATTAGGAACTCAAAAATCAGTATAGAATTGGTCAGCTGTAAATTGAGTCATTGACAAAGAGTAACTAGTCATCATCAGCATCATTACCCTAGTGCCGCAAAGGCTCCCACCTATGGTGGGGTAAGGGGGTTGGATGTACGCAGTCTTACTCTTGTACTGTACTAAAGCAAAGAGAGTCCGTTTCTGAATGACCCATAGTGAAAATCGCGTCGGAAATTGCATGGACCGACAACTGCTTCATAACAAAGAAGCGCAAACAATTTAGTTAGCCATTTTGCTTTATTCCATCATATTCCTAAGTCAAAAAAATAGTGAGTCTTTAGCTCCATTGCAAATGATGAAAATTGACAAACACTAACTAGTACAAACCAAAATTTCTAAGTACGCTTTTGTCATATAAAGGGCATTACTTCATTGGAATTTAAAATATTAGATAGTTTTCAAACTCATTTTACTTATATTTCTATTATATAGAGATTAAGAAATATAAGCATACGTAAAATGTTAATATCTTTAATTATATTTGATTATGTGTATGTTTGGCACAACTAGCTGAAAAGATACTTTTGTGAGCTTTTTAATAACTGTTAGTTTTTAGTGACTGAAAAGATCTTAAAAAGAAAATGTGGTAGCTGTTTGGTAAAAAGCTGACTGTTTGATTTAGTTCGGTTTGATATACAAGTTGTTAGGACTAATTAATACTAAAAGTCACGGGCTTTTTTCAGATGCTACTCCATGTACCATCTCAAAAAAAGATCTTTAATTTTTGAAAAGCTCCTAAAAATTGTCATGCCAAACATATAACTAGAAGCTTTTAGAGACTTTTTGAACAGTACAAAAGCTAGAAGACATGGACTTATGGTTGACAAACATAGCCTATCTTCATATTCTCCAACCTAACCAAACATAAAAACAAATTTCCTTTCGCTAGCATTTTCCGCATTCCAGGCATAGTCATAATAGCAAATAACAAAAGAACCGTAAATATTTTCACCTGTTTGACCCATCATCAACATTTGAAATAGTAAATGATTCCAGGGATCTGTTAGGCAAGTCAGAAAAATCAAGACTCAGCTGATTCCCCATGTAATTGAAGGGGAGGAGAATGAGGATCCCAACTGCTGTAGCAAATGCAAACACTTTAAAGCTGAAAGGTTTATGCAGATGAAGCACCAAATCAGCTCATTACCTACCTTAATGATGGTCCCGGATAGGTAAAAGTCTAGAGGGGGGTGAATACACTTTTAAATCTTTTTCGACTTTTAAAAGTTTTCCCTCTAAAAGAGTTCATCTATAAACTTTTGAGAGATTTATAGATGCACAGCGGAAATCTTTACCCTTTATGTAATGAGTGTTTAGCCACTTTCTAACTTGGAGAGTATTTGGCTTAGAATGCTAGCAGTTGGCTTAGCAGGTGGCTAAGAGCAAGGAACTGCTGAGGCAACTGCTCAGGAAATGTAGAGTATATGATGAAGGTAAGGATAGTTGATTGATGAGTATGATAAGGCCTTTTAGTGAGTATGCTTAACTGAAAAGAAACTATAGCTTTTTACTGAAGCAGTGGACTCGACAGTTAGGTGAATGTGAGGGAACTGCTGAGGCACCTGCTTGGGTCAAAAGCTTATTGGGTTAAGAAAACTTCTTGGTGATGTAGTGACAATCCGGTGATGTTTGAGATGTTTGACAAGAAGTAAGTATATATGAGCAGAGGGCTCAGCAGTTGGGTGGATTCCAGGGAGCTGCTGAGGCACCTGCTGTACTTAGAAAGTGAATTTCAGAAAACTGATAGAGTGATCCTTTCAATTGATGTTGGTGCACGTTAAAGGTGTGAATTTGGTCTCAAAGAGAGTGAGTAATTAAGCAGTAGGATAAGCAGTTGGGTCAATTAAGACAACTGCTTAGGATGCTGCCGGCAAACTACAATCTTTATGTGAGAAGTGTTGGGTGTGTGCTTTGTTGACTGAAATGAAATCAACACACGATATATCCTGGTTCAGAGGTGGTGTAATCCTCCTACGTCCAGTCCCACCCTCTTTCAGATGGATTTCACTAAAGTATTAAGCCCAATACACTTAGTGCCAATCTAGCCTTTACAACACTTAGGCCTAGATTGAAGGTTTTTCACGATGAGTATAGCACCACTCAAAGTTACTCAGTCCTTAGACTTTTCTCTAATGAACCAGTGGGGATCAAAAGGTACTTTATCTATCTACTTACACCGTAGGATCCGAACAACTGTTCTCCTGAGTGTTTACAACAATATGTGATTTGTTACAAGAAAGTTCTAACCTCCAACTAGGAACTAAACGTCTATGATTTAGCAATGAAGAGCTTGTAAACTGGAAGTATAGTGAAGCATGAGTCCATGCAGAGAGTAAAGTTTAGAATAACACTTTCTCTTTTGCTAGATATCTCGTGAATGCTCGAAGGATATTTTTCTCTACTTTGGATGCTCAAAAGCTTGGTTAGAAACTTTCGTTTCAGACTCTATTTATAGGCTTTTTGGCTGATCAATCTTATCTGTTGGTTATGATAGATTGATCTTGGACGTTGAAGTTCTGATGAGTACGAGTAGTACTTTTGTCCTTTTGTGCTGGAGTTTTTAATGCAGCGGTTCTCTTGTCTTCAATAATCTTGGGGTGGTTTTCAAATACCACATGGATTGATTCTTCTACCACCAGAGTTCTTTTGTTGAGAATTCGGAATGCCTTGCTAGGTGTTAAGTAGCCCATGAAGATCCCTTCATCAGATTTGGGATCAAATGGCTTGAGATAGTCTTTTCCATTGTTTAGGATAAAGCATTTGGATCCAAACACATGGAAATGACTGACATTAGGCTTCCTTTCTTTCCGTAGCTCATATGGTGTCTTATTGTGAGTCTTATGAATAAGACTTCTATTTTGAGTGTAGCAAACAGTGTTGATTGCTTCTGCCCAAAATCTTTTGGGTAATCCAGCTGCTTCTAAAATTGTCCTTCCTGCTTCCTTGAGTGTCCTGTTCCTTCTTTCAGCGACACCATTTTGTTGAGGTGTTCTTGCTGCTGAGGTTTGATGATGGATTCCATTTTCTTCACAGTACTGAATTATGATGGAGTTGAGAAATTCAGTACCTCTATCTGACCTGATCTTCTGAATTGAGAGACTTTTCTCATTTTGAATTAGCCTCATCAATTCTGGCAGTTTCTTCTCTGTTTCATTCTTCTTCTTTAAGAATATGGTCCAAGTGTATCTAGAATAATCATCAACTACAACCAGGGTGTACCTTCTACCACTTAAGCTTGTTGGTTCAACCGGTCCAAACAAGTCAAGGTGTAGTAGGCTTAAGGGCCTCTTGATGATTCCACTTCTTTTGATTTGAATGATACCTTGGTTTGTTTCCCTTTTTGACAAGCATCACAGAGGTGGTCCTTTTTGAAGTTGATTTCAGGGAGTCCTTTCACCAAACCTTTTCTGGACAGTTTGTTGATTGTTTTAAAGTTTAGATGGTGATGGTCCCAGATAGGGTAAAAGTCTAGAGGGGGGTGAATAGACTTTTAAATCTTTTTCGACTTTACAAAGTTTTCCCTCTAGATGAGTTGATCTATAATCTTTTGAGAGATTTATAGATGCACAGCGGAAGTCTTTACCCTTTATGTAATGTGTAACAACTTTCTATGATGGATGAAGTCTTTGCTTAATGGTGAGCAGTTGGCTAGGCAGTTGGCTAGAAAGCAGGGAACTGCTTAGTCGACTGCTTACGAAATACTTGGAGTATGATGAAGGTGTATTCAGAATCTTTATTAGAGTGGGAAGAGCTTTCTGATGATGTACTGAGGTGGATTGATAATCAACCTTAAATTAGAGCAGTTGTCTCAGCAGTTGGGTGGAAACCAGGGAACTGCTGAGGCACCTCCTGAAGTAAAGGTAAAGGTATGGAAGGTTTGATTATATGGCGTTGCTCAGGATGATGTGGGCTTTCTGAAAATGTGCTTTGGACCAAGTAAGTAGACGGTTTTACTTAGGCAGTGATCTTAGGCAGTTGGGTGATAGTGAGGGAACTATTGAGGTACCTGCTGGGTTATCACCTTGAATCACAGAGATTATTTTGAACATACTTCTTAGAGATAAAGATGTAAAGGTCTAGTAATGTTAAGATGTTCACAGGAAATACTTTTGTGTGAGCAGTGGGCTCAGCAGTTGAGTAGTCTTTAGGAGACTGTTGAGGCAACTGTCATGCCTTAAGTGGTATTTCCTGAAATCTTAATGAAATAGACCTTTTTGTTGTGATATTGTGAAGCTCTTGTATCTCAAAGAGAGTGAGTAATTAAGCAGTAGGATAAACAGTTAAGTCAATTAAGACAACTGCTTAGGATGCTGTTGGCAAACTACAATCTTTATGTGAGAAGTGTTCAGTGTGTGCTTTGTTGACTGAAAATGAATCAACACACAATATATCCTGGTTCAGAGGTGGTGTAATCCTCCTACATCTAGTCCCATCCTATTTCAAATGGATTTCACTAATGTATTAAGCCCAATACACTTCAGGCCGGGAACAACTGTCCTCCTGAAGTGTTTTACAACAAAAAATCTGATTGGTTTACAAGAAAGTTCTAACCTCCAACTAGGAACTAAACTTCTAAGATTTTGACAATGAACACTTGATACTAAGAAGTTTAGTGAAGCAAGAGTCTAAGCAGAGAGTCGTGAATAGAACAGCACTTTTTGCTCAAAGAAATATCTCTCTACTTAGGATGCTCAGGCTTGGTTAGAAACTTTCGTTTCTGCCTATATTTATAGGCTCTCCGGTTAATTGATCTTATCTGTTGGTTAGGATAGATCAATCTTGTGCGTTGAATTTGTTTGCAGAAGATAAACAACTTGTTGTTTATTTTCTTCTTCGGAGCGTATGGGTTCTGCTTGTCTTGCCCGCCTAGCCACTGTAGATTTCTTTTTAGGCTTCAGACTGTGCGCCCATGCTGTAGGTCCATGTATCTGTCTTTATTTGCCTTCGCTGAAATATCTCTTTGTGTGCGTCTTTAATGCTCCGGACCCTAGTACGTATCTGACATTAATAACTTTTGAGCTAAATAAAATATGCCGGTAGGATTTAAATATCCTATTAAGGTAAATAAAAATTACCTTATTGCATTTTTACTTTTCCGGTAATATTTCATTAGTCTCAAAAATTGTATTTTTATTTTGTCACATTAATACTAGACTAAAATGAGATACAATGTACACGTGCTAAGTATAAAATCTCATCAAAATTGGGTACTAACAGATGACTTAATTTGTTGTGTCATTCCCAACTTAAGTTTGAATCTGTCTTTGTCACTAAGCAGATTCCTTCCTTTGCAGAGCTCCAATCAACAATGTACATGTCCTTCTTCCTTCTACCAGTGAGCATAATTTTGTCATTTTTGACATCTCTAATCAAGCAGATGTCTTTGGAGAATGTAACATTATAGCCATTGTCACAGAGCTGGCTTGTGCTTATGAGATTGAACTTTAAACGCTTAACATAGGATATGTTTTGAATTGTAAGTCCATTAATTGATAGGTCTCCAGCTCCTTTGGTTTCTCCTTGTTTTTCCACATTCCCAAATGTTACTTTGGGGCCTTCCCTTGCTGTATAGTTAGACAGGAGCCGCCTGCTGCCCGTCATGTACCTGGAGCAGCCTGAATCTATGTACCATGTTTGTGTTTCATCTGCTCCAGCACCTTCCTGTATAAATTAATGTTGAGCAGTAGCCCACAAGTTAGTGGGTGACTTCCCTTGTACAAGTTTGGGCATCCATGCCCATCTAGAACCATTGAGTTCTAAGCGGATTGGTCTATAGCCATTTGAGGTGTTGTAATAAAAAGGAATGGTTATGTACTTGTTAATCCTTTTCCTTCTTGAAGTGGGAAGTGGATTTTTTATTTGAGGAGTCTGCTTGGTATTTTGGCTGTGGTTGGTCTTATTTTTTGGCTGCCAATAGGTTCTTTGGTTTAGATGGTGAGGGGGTGTTGATTTATACAGGTGTTTGGATTTTGGTTTGGGAGCAGGTTGGTTCCTTTCTTTTGGGAACATTTGGGGGATGGGTTTTTTGGTAGGTGAGCTTTCTTGTGTATGATTTGTG